AGTATTGGGAACAGAATGCAGGAATTCTAATACTACATTCTTGCACTAATTGCTAGATCACACTCCCTGACTCAAAGTCCTCTGCTACAAAACAAACTCTCTCCCAGAGATGTAAGCGAGAGACCATGATTTCCAATTGTTGTTCTTCTAACCCTCACTGCCCCTGCACATGGTTCCTTTTATGATCAACGCGCTACAGATCATTATCCCACCTATGTGAGGCAAAGAGGAAAGGAAAACATGTTAGCATTCAGGTTGTCAGGGGTTAACACCTGTTTAGATTTGTCATCCATGTGACGAAATGAAAAGTATGCCGTTTGCAATAAACTTTGCATAAAATAGTTAATTTGCATTTAATTTTAATGGTTCAAAGAATGTCAGGCAAAATGGTCGGCCCTCACGCATGTTCACTTCATCAAATCTGGCCCTCTTTGAAAAAAGTTTGGGCACCCCTGCTTTAAGTCAAGACTCATTTGTTCACATAGATTCCTTGCTAGTGAGCACATCTGATGCTGAGTAAAGTCAGAGTGATCCCTGGGAACAAGAACCAATTGATCGGCCAGAGCTGCTTGCGGTGCAGGGTACAGCAAATTAACAAGGGCCTTCCTTTGGACTGAGTGTGAGGTGGGACATTTTGGACTGGCATGTATGACACAGTAGCAAATGCCAAGTAAGAGCAAGCTAAGAATAACTAAACACACATGACTCTCAGTAATGCCTCGTTTCAATTTGCTACAGAAGTTTAATTTTTAGGGCATTCAGTTTTCTTATTTATTTTAAATCAGACTCGCAGCTATAAACATTAAGAGTGAAAGTATTACTTCTTTCACTAAAGGAAGAAGGGTTGATTTTTTGATCAGTTACTGATTTTACACTCCATATTCCTTTCCTCCATACTTAGCCTATAGTTAAATTTAAAGTATTGATTTTGCCCTCTTTGGCCTTCTCTCTCACATGCCCAACGCCCACCATGGTTGTGCGGAAATACCCCAAGCTCTTATATCAGGTTTTGTATATTACATTTCCTTTCTGTCACATGGCACTACATATGAATGAAATTAATTCCGACAGTAATCACAGGACTGGAAGGGAGCCTGAGAGCATCTAGTCCAGCTGGGGAAGAGAGTCTGGGAGAGGGCTATAAACAGAGGAAGCTGGCTACTTAAAATCACACTGGAATCTCTTATGCCTGGAAGTTTCTTTCAAGTTAAGATCTCAAAGACCAGAATGTACTGCAGAGTGCCAGATTAAAGACTAATTAGAAAAGAAGCCTAGTAGACTCTCCAACTACTCAAGTAATGAGCTCTAGGAAGTCATGGGACAAAAAGCCACACATTTTCATATGAATTGTATAAATATTCCTAATGACTACTGTTTATGAAAGAGCTATGTAGATTATGTAGGAGCTAGATAGAGTCATGGAGGTTAGGTCCATCACTGGCTATTAGCCAGGATGGGTAGGAATGGTGTCCCCAGCCTCTGTTTCTCTGGAGGTGGGTGACAGGGGAGGGATCACATGAGGATTACCTGTTGTGATCCTTCTCTTTGGGGCATCTGGCATTGGCCACTGTCGGCAGACAGGATACTGGGCTAGATGGACCTTTGGTCTTACCCAGTATGGACATTCTTGTGTTCTTATTAAAATGCTGAAGTTACTGAATTATCAAGAAAGTGATTTAAAGATTTTTAGTACAGGCAGATTACTACCAAACAGTTTGCAAGTGAGACAAGTAAAAATATATGTTTGGATTGACACCAGGTGGTACAACTCTAAATTGGTAAATAAATTGTTCAGAACTGTACAGTTTAGAAAATTTGGGTTGTATGCAGCATCATGCTTAAAAATAACTTTGTCGGAAAGACATATTTATATAATTTAAAAAGTTTTTCATTCCTTTCCTTACCTTAAATCATATTCTGAAATGAAGGCAAATCCACACAGTAACTGCAGCATGAGGGTGTGGTGGTAAACTCCTGTTCCTTTTGTTTGCCAGAGAGATCCCAAAATAGGAAACAATGGAAAGAACCCGAAGTGACAGGAGCTGCTCCCTCCTCCCCATATCAAACAAACAAAAAAAACCTGATTTGACTGGTAACCTCTCATCTCCTGCATAGTGTGACTCCTCTCAAACTTGTGGTAGAAATGTAGCCGTGTTAGTCTGGTGCAGCTGAAACAAAAAACAGGACTGTGTAGCACTTTAAAGACTAACAAGATGGTTTAATAGGTGATGAGCTTTCGTGGGCCAGACCCACTTCCTCAGATCAAATAGTGGAAGAAAATTGTCACAACCATATATACCAAAGAATACAATT